AAACAGAAATGTAGCATTTGTTACATTTTTCTCTATGTGTACAAAGATAAAACCATAATTAAATATTTAAGCATCTAACTGAAATGGTTCCAAGTTTCTAAGTAGCTAAATATACTAAGATTTTACAAAAATCACCATTAACTATGTTTGCTCATCATCATTAATGTGCCATTTAGTTTCCAGGATAACCTTTAATTCTTAACTTTAGGGATCCAGATTTAAAATGACTGGTCAGTTCAAAATGACTTTCTGCCCTGCTCTTTGCAAGATCCTATGACACAAATTTGTCGTGGTCAAAGTCTGTCAGGTCTTCTCTAGCATGAGACCGTGTAAGATATGTGACTTCCAGTGTTTTCCAAGGATGTGCTATGACACTAGCACCTCACTACACAAACCTGCACAGAGGAAGATGAGCAAATTTTCTCAGTGCCACTGGAGGTTCTTTTGTTTCATTGGAGTTTTTTAATTTCAGTTCCATTGGGCTGATCAGAGTTAAAGCAGATTGTTAACGGCTTTGTTAAGTAGCTCCAACTGCTGATAGGCTGGAAGCATTGGCCACCTCTGTAGGAAGCCTCTTCCAGTGTTTGGCCACCCTGTGGTAATGGCAGTGTATGCTGGGACTGAAGGGGAGGATAAGGAACCTGCCTCCACAATTTGTCCAATGCATATGGACATTCGCTATGAGCCTGGGTACTCAGTACATGCCTGGCATTTTTGGGTGGGAGCCCTCTTTACGCCTTGGCATATGCAACCCAAGTATGAGAGATTTTTTTACTTAATTTCATTTTCCCAATGAAATTTTGCCCCAATTGCCCTTCCAGATTTATTTTTTTTGCATAAATTAGCACTCATATTCAATGCAACCATCACCCGTGTTGTAAATTACAACAAAGCAAAAATCTCATTTGGCCTTCCCATGAAATATGGTAGTCCTGGAACTTCATACCTCTGTCAGGACCACCAGAAATGAAGATAGTTTTTATGACAGCTGGTAACTTTTTATTTCACCCTAAATATTCAGCAGATGACCATAGCAAATCATAAAACTGTCTGCCTATTCTAGTTGAAATATTATCCTTTATAACAATTTTGCTGAACAGATTTTGGCTTTTTAAGCTAATCAAGAGTCATCTATGAACAGACTGTGTTCTTTATCAAATGTCTGTGTTTGCTCAAAATTTGCCAACTGGCTAGATTCTCCAACCAAAATGTTTTTACATTTATTTCCATCACAAATTCCCTCCTGCCCTAACCTTTCTGAGGACTACAAACGAGTAATACTTGGTGCTGAGTTTTATATTGAATATGAAGAGGCATCTCATATCTTTACTTCTACATGACAGTTAACTCATCTTGCCATAATTCCAATAGCACATTTTTTCTTTATTTCAGTTTTTCAAGTGGGATTTGCAAAATACACTCTCTGTTCTCAAGAGCACTGTTAGCTCCACACTGACTTCACAGTAAAAGCACTAAACTAAATTCATGGCTGCTTCACAGTCACATCCTTCTAAGGACTTAGCTGAAGCTTTAATGGAAAGATTAACGTTGGGTTTCATGAAAATTTGGACTCTTTTCTCTTTCTGCCTTCCACATGTATTTCAGTATAAAAGTATCACTTTTAGCATTATTGAGAGCATTTTTCAGTTGTGTGCAGCCAGGATGTGGTGTTTGGTTTTTTTGTTGGGTTTTGTTTGGTTTTTTTTTCTTCTTTTCCTTTCTGGTTAGTAGTGCATCTGTGTATGTGCCCTCATCTTCTAAGATTTACCGTCAGAAACAGACTAAAATCAAAACTGTGATAAAAAAATGACCCAGACTACTGGAAGCTGTTAAACTTAAATTATTAAAGGAAGATTTGCATTACATCCCATAGAAAATTAGGTATGATATTTAGGACACCTGAATACTTCAAGGTCATCCAAAAATTAATGGTCTAATTTGAGTGACTTCAATTAATCCAGTGTTCACATGACTTATGACTTACATGGTTTTTTTGCTTAGTGAAAGATAAGGTCTCTAAAATTTAACAAAAAGGAAGAAAGCTAACAAAATATTTTCCTATTAGTCTTTGTAGATCATATTTTCTTCCAAGGACTGAGAAAAAAAGAAAAAAAAAAGTAAAATCACTGTTCAGGGGTATGTTTTACTCTTTGTTACATTTCAAAGACTTACTGATGAAAATTACAACTTTATAGAGACAGCACATGACAAATATAGTAATACTTTTGCATTTATTAAAAACTTGCCCTATGAAAAGTTAATTGAACATTGTTTTGTCTGTCTGAACATAATTATATAATTTATTTTGTTTTAAAAACCCACACATCTCTTACTGATTGTCTTAAGTGAATTTTACAAATTCAAATGCGTAAGTATATCAATAACTTATAATGATGAAAATTAAATAGAGTGAATTTTGACTCTAGGAAGCTAAATTTAGGGAAAACATGATTCGCATTCTGGATTTACTGGTAAATACCTTATTTACATAAAAGGATTTTTATATTACTGATCAGGAGACAATTCATTCAGACAATTCACATGTAGCTTTCCAATACAAAACAATTATGTCTATAGGTGACATTAAGGTAGTCATCTCCGTAGTCTGGGACTGTATGTTTGCAACTTTAATTTAGGTGTTCATTCCAAAATAGTCAAAAGCAAATCCTTCAACCATCAAGTATTTATTCTCTTTGGAGGTATGCATATTATCTTGAAATATGATAATCCAAAGCATGTTTTGCTGAGTGAATAGATACTTAAGGGATATGGCCTCTTTTTAAACATTGGTAAATCCTGTTACATTTGGTTTTCTACCTCCATCACCTACATGGAGGCTTGCCTCGGGAAACACATGGATGCTATTCTTATCTCCTGCAAGCATTACTGATGTTTATGCTCCTTTATTTAACTAAAAAAACTGAGGAAGAGCGGAGATCAACTTTCATGTAGGAAAGGGTAGACAGTGAGTGCTGTGCACTATCTGTTTTTTGTGATCTCTTCCACAATCCACTGCTTAGAAGCTTCACAAGAGAATGCTGTGCCAAGCCCAGGTTCTTTCTGTGTCTTATTCACTTAGAGGCTGAGAACAATTTCATTTTCTAGCTACAAGAAAGCAGGATCAGTGATAAATTCAGTGTGCTAGTCCTATGGGACTAATCAGCTGATGAAACACGCCAACAGATAATTTCTTGAGACTATATAGTAGTATATAGAAGCATACAGATGTCAAGGCTATGCTATACATAAGTGAGGGTACACAAGTGCTGACATGCTCCCTGCTTCCCTTGGTGATTGTTCTGTCTTCTCGCATACAAGGTTTTTTATTCTTTCTGTGTTTCTCCACATGAATCTGAGTGGTGTTTGTTTCATGTGATTTGAATAGGAGCTGTGAACCTTTTCTCACAAAGAAAGTGGCAGATCTGTTGCCTCTGGAAAGAATTTTTTTTTCTCCTTTCTTTCAAGCTGCTCCTTGCTTGGTGATGCTGGTGTATGGTAGTGAGGAGCACATGAACTCATTCAGTCAGATTATACTATATTCACAAAGCTTTTTAAATTCACCATCATGTCTGTTTGCTATGTAAAGCTCATCTGGAAAATAGTTACTGAGGCAAAATTTTCTTGCCCAGCTGCAATGCAACATAGGGAAAGCAAGATAGACATCCCTGCATTTGGGATCTCTGCTATACTATGAATTCCCAGCAGAAATTTCTGAGTTTTAGGGCAAACAAACTGAGAAGGTCTGCCAAATCAGAGCCTTTTCCATGATAGATCTAAGGACAGTCTTCATGGTTTGATTTCAAAGCCATATCATAGCTACATTTAGGTAAGGAGTTATTTTTTAACTTGAAAGTTTTGGTGAACTTGCAGATTTTTACCTCCTTTCATCATATTAAAATGACAAACATCATCTCCAACCTGGATTTGAGAAGTGAGAGTTAACACCTAGTCTCTCACACATCCTACTTCCCCGGTGCACACAAGGTGTTCCCGAGACAAAATAACAGAGACTGGATTGCAATTGCCTGTTAAACATTGAGTAACGTGGGAGACCTGCAGATAAAAACAACTTGCAGTTTGGAGCATTTTGTGCTTGAATGACCCAAGGGGAAAATCAAACCAAGGAGGTTTCTTACCTCCAGCTGCCCCGGGGTCCCCAGCACAGCCCTGCAGTGCCGGTGGGTCAGCGCTGGCAGTGCTCTGCAGCACAAGGCAGTGCTCAGCTGGCAGAGGGCAAGCAGGGAGCAGGGTCTGATGTGATGTGCAGCCAAAAACATCCTCTGACAGTGCCAGCCCAGCTGCAGATCAGACGGAAAACCTGTGTGTGAGAAAAACTCTACTGCCACGTTGTTTCTGGTCAGAGGAAGGAGACTTCAGTGTTTGCTCAGGCTGCAGTTACACAAAAACTCAGTGTTACAAACTTTGGCTGACTTTCTGTGGCAATCCCATACTGGCATACTTAGTACCACTTTTAGCTAAAATGACTGTTTCTGATAAACATTTATCACTTGAGAAGTGATGCTGATTTACATTGTTTAGTTATTAACGCTGAAAGGGACATTGCTATCTTGACCCACAGATAAACGAGATTTAAAAAAAAAGCCCACCTTCAAATGTAACAAAAACATCAATTTTTCAAGAAAATTACTTTAAAAATTGTTTCAATGGAAATCTATTGTCTTTATTAACCTTTCCTAAAATATATAACACTGTGGAATGACAAGGAAAATTTCAAAAGAACAAAAAATGAAAAACGACAACTTAATTAAACAGGTACTTTCTCATGAAGCATTTAACTTTTAATGAAGTCAAGATTTCTGGGGTGGTGCTGGGCAAGTGTTTTATTTATTTATTTAAAATCCCTGACTAGCACCTTGTTTATGGCTCTAAAGCTTTATAAAAGAAAGAAGGAAATACCTTTATATATATAATTGTTTATTCATATTTTCGTGTAATTTCATTTTTCTTTTTAATAACAGGTTTTTTTCTTACCATTGTAGGCAATGAGAGCTTAGAAGAAAATTATGTGCAGGACAGTAAAATGGGATTTGTCATCAATGCGATATACGCTATGGCTTATGGGCTACAAAACATGCATCATTCCCTTTGCCCTGGACATGTTGGACTGTGTGATGCTATGAAGCCAATTGATGGCAGCAAGCTCCTGGAGTTCCTCCTCAAATCCTCATTCATTGGTGTTTCTGGAGAAGAAGTTTGGTTTGATGAAAAGGGAGATGCCCCTGGAAGGTAAAGAGGTTTCATCTCAACTATTTAACCAGAGGATGGGAAGTGGGAATGTTACTGTGTTTGGTGATGTAGATTTCTTTGGCTTTTTTTTCTGAAACATAAAGCATGGACCAGTCTGTCCAACAGCCAGGAATAATACTAGTATAACAGGAATACACATGGTATCTTATACTGGGACAGGAACTACATAGAGCTCATACATTTCTAGTGCTAAAGGAGATGACAAATCTTGTTACTCACAGACATCTGGTGTGCAAGGTACTATTGGGTCTCAGTACCAGGGTTTTAGTATGTATAAAGCCTAATACAAATGATTGGAATTTAATGAAGAATTTACCTGACATAGAGGGCTGTAGACCTCATCCTTTTGCAACTGGAGCTCTGCTGAAACCTTGCCAGAGATTAAGTGGTAACTAATAAGATCCTTTATGATCTCCTTCATTTGTTTCACTCCAAATAGAACCAGATCGTTCCAGAATTTAAAGATAGGTCTGTGTAGAGTAGGACAAATAAGAAGGGGGCTTTTGGAAGGATTTTCCATGTTTCACTCATCAGGGGTCTGGTCCCAGCTGTGGCAGCTGCTATTGTTTAGCACCCTCAGCTGACACAGGATGTACCCAAGCAGTGGGTAAGGCAGGACCTTTGTGGACTTGGATGTCACCTTTGTTTCTCTTATGAGAGTGAACTGACAGAGATCTTTCCTTTCATTTAGTTTGGTGGGTTCTATTTTAACACAGGGATTTTTTTTGTTTCTTTGTTTTCTTTTTTATAAATACATTTAATTCAGCTGCTGAAGTACAAAGTCCATTATTAATTGAAACCTACCCAGGGATTGCTTCACTGAAGTTTGTTTTCCTACTGAGTTGTTAAAGTGCTATAAAAGGCTCTCTCACTCCATCTTTGGGCTTATTGCATAAGTGCATCTGAGTGCTAACATCACACAAAGGGAGGGCTCTAGAGCAAACAAGAGTTTTCATATCCTTTCATGCCTCCATTGAGTATTCATAAGACACAGTGGTCTTAAAGCAACTCTTATCTCTATTACTAGGTTTTATTAGCAAAACTGGCCAATGTTTTGCCATTTTCTAGATTGTTATGTTTTTTTCTATTGTCATATTTAAACAGTATATGCACTTAAACAGTTTGTTACATTTAATTAGTAACAAAAAGTCAGTTTGATCTTGTTGAGCATTGACTTCAAGATTTTTTTAGTCAAAGATACAGATCAATTGAGGTTAGGCTTTGAAAGTAAAGCAAACAATTCCCTTACATTTGAACACATACTTATCAACACGAATGCATAAATCAAGTCTTTGCACATATAATTTAGATAATACAGAGAAATTACTGCTTAGTGTAGCTTTATGCTTTTTGCACACTATTTGTGTCCATAAAAGCATTACTCCAGCTTTGCATATGCTGCATTTTCTGTCTGTTAGCTATTTGGTTTGATGTTTAGATGTAATTTTCCAATTTTAGCCTAATTCTTATTTATTATTTTGTCACCCAAGAGCATTTCCACAGCTCTCATCAGTACCAAGCATAAAATTAGATTGAACAGTTGCTGAATTTAAAACATAAGAGAGTTAATATGAAGATATTCCTCTGAGTATGCCAGAATGATATAATTTATTCCATCCATCATTTTGGTCCATAGCAAGGTTCATTTTTCTTGATTCCCTGGCCTACTTAGAAGTTTATAGATTATTTTAGGTATGGACTTTTTTTGTTAGTGATTCTCATTTATATTTTCACAGTTGGAGCTAGCAAGTTTGGGCAAGGAGATGCATTTAACCTTTTTTGTTATTCATTCTGTAAATCTTGCATCAATCTGTGACATTTATGACATGGGCAATATAGTATCAGAAAATGGCTGTGTGTATATGAACTGTGATCTGCACAGCAGCAGCAGCAGTTTAACGGAATGGTCTGTAGCTGCAGACCGACTGTAGTGCTTCCACAGCTTCATGTGGAAAGACCCTTCGTGCACCAGTGAACAGACCAGAGCACTGTGTCAGTACCCAAGGGTTGTTGTACCTCAGCAAAATGGGAAGATAAACACCACAAACAACACCTAAACATAGCAAAGCCACCCTGCTATGAAATGTCTTAGTTTTTTGGCTTTTCTATGCAAGTGCAAGAAAGTCACACAAATGTGTAAAACGTTTTTAGATATCTTGTCTTCAAATCATGTTAACAAATCAACTTCATAAGGTGGAATAATATTCCTCTTAGAAGGTAGCAACCTTTCTCATGATTTTCAAAAACTGTTCTTTGAGCAATTGATTCCCACAAAATCCTAATTGTCATTATCATGAGCCGAGCAGATAGAGTTCCTGTAGTTATGTTTGTCTGACATTCCCATAATATCCTGTTTTGGAACCCGTACAGCTTCATGAAATCTTGACCATTTGTTTAGACACAACTCTTTTTCTATCTCAGGCTCAATTCATGGTTTCAAGGTTTTTATTAAAATGAGACTGGAAAACACAAAGGAAAACACAAAGCATAGCCAAAGGTGTATTTCGTCTGTAAAGAATAATTTCTTTGAATATATCTTATGCAGAAATATGAAGGAAACTTTCATTGCAATGGCACAAATGCAGTCATTTAGCTGACTGCCCTGCCTCCGGGAAAAAATGACATGGATGTAACTCTGTAAATTCAACTGTATGTACTCACTATACCATCACTAAGAACATGCTGGTAAATTTGCTGCACTTGTTACTTTCATTGAGTAGGTCCCATTTCCTTTCTCTGTAACAATCATATCACTCAAATTTCCATAAATGGCTGGAGAAGATGTGAAATATGCAATAGTCAACACAACATCCTTCTCTGGGATACAGATGTATCTTTTTAGCTCTCATCTCTTCTCGGTAATTGCCTCCTTTTACCTTGTGGTTGGTATGAAGAACCTTACCTCTCTAGAACAAACAATTTGCATAGACCTCTGACCATAAAACACTTTGCAACAACAGGCAGGAGAACTTTCAGCCCCTACAATAAACCTTTGATATCTGGAGAAATGCTGAGGTTCACAAACTAAGAGAAAAATTTCACCTAACTAACATTTCGTCTTAAATAAACTTGGACTTAGAACCATGTAAGTCTATTTAGTTCAAAATTTCCAATAGTTGTTCAGGCTTCAGTTATGACAACTCTACGTACTCCAGTGCTTTGAGTAAATAATCAAATTTTGCCTTATGCAAAGCCTTCAAACTTGCATGTAAACAATTTTTTTTTTTCCAAATAAGCAATTTTGTTTCAAAGTTTGGATTCATGGGTGCTTATTTCATCCATTTACATCCTGCCATTGCTCAGCATTGCTCTTTTTCCTCCTGTCTTCCAGGATAGCAAACATCAGTATCAGTCAGGTATTATGGGTATGGAAAAAGGTAACTTCAGCTATCTCAGATTAACTAGAGTAAGACAGTGCTTGTGACTAGCTGATTTATATTCTGGCTTGCCTTACAAGTACCTTGTTCATAAGACACTGCCTACTGGGTCACATCATTTCCCAATATGCCAGAGAATTTGCTCTTATGTTAAAAGAAGGATTTTCTTACCTGCTGAATGTTTCAATGGCTTCTTTAAATGCTGCCGTGTGTGTGAAATACAAATATACCTCCAAGAAGTCTCACTCTCTTGAGGGCTTCACAGCTCTTGCCAAACCCTCTTCTTTTGGGGTCGTAATTTTTAGCATGGACCCAGCCCAAAATTGTTAAAGTTGTACATATATGAGCAAGGGGATGGGAGGAGGTATTCCAGCACTGAATTTGTCTTTGCTCGAAGCACAGATTTTTCATTAAGATGAAGAAAGAAAGGATAAAGAACTTAAGCGCATCTCCATATATCAAGTGTATTTTCTAGACCACAATTTTCCACTTAAATTCAAGCTGTAAAATATCAAAGCTGCAAACATTTTACTACAACTTGTCATAACGCAAGACTGTGTAAGAGCTTTTAATCTACATACTTTATTCTTTGACAGGTAACCTATAGGAAAGGGAATAGTATTACAAGAACACAGGAGAAACTCTTAATTGATATTCCATTAATGTCACTCTGTGCTTTATGATGTATTTTTGTAAAAATGAAAAAAGTATGCGGGCTCAAAAATTTCATTAAGGGAATGTGAGGTTTTAGTAATCTTTTATTCCCCTTCCTGAAATAATTTTCCAACCCAGAGTTACTGATTTTGTGTCAGTCTAATAGAAGGCCAAACTAAAATCCAAGTACATTTCCCTTGCTAGGAAGAGGCATGCACATTTCTGCTCAGCTTTACTCCTGCCTGTTGAGTATCCGTTATGAAATGTCTGACTCTCACTGCTTCTTGCTATCCTGATTCTTCACAAGCCTGGAAACAGCATTTCTTTTTTTAGGCACTTCCTTTAGAAGAACTGGAATATGAGAAGCAATTGTTTCCTTAATGAATTTGAAATTTACTCCTTTTCTAAGCAATGCCTTGATTAGTGGCCAATTCCCAACCAATGGAGCTGCCTCCTGCTTGGAGCTCCATTGAACTCAGTGGCAGGGGTCCTTTTCACACATGATTCAGTGGAGCTCTGCAGTGGCACTGGCATTATCTGAGCATGCATTTTGGCAAAACTGAGGTCTAATTACAGCTGTAAATATGCATTTCTTTAAATCATCTTTAACTAAGACTTAGTTAAGAAAATTACTCTGCTCTACTCTAGACAATAATTCTAGCACGCATTATAAACAAAAGACTTTTTTCTCCAGAGACTGAGACAATACAGTACAGAAGAGCAAGGCAGTAAATCCCAAGCTTGGAAAATATAAGATGCTTTGTTATTTTCACCTCTAATGCTGATTTCTTGTTTTCAATGCTCTTTCTCTTGTCATTCATTAAATAAAGTCCTTCCCCTACTCATCTTAAGAGACCAGGCTGTGGGTTTAGCCTCTTGTGTGCTTCTTCCTCTCTGTACACACTCCAACATTCATTTTTCCATTCTTGCTTATTTATAAGAATCAAGCTACATTCTGTGGGTAAAAGAACGAATATAATAACTATCAGTAAGGGATGTACACATATCAGGTCCAACACATTGAAGGCAATGGGGTAGGCTGGATGTTAATTGTTGCAGTTTTTTTATGCTCCCCTTACCTTAGTCTTGGGAAGTGCACTCCTCATTGCCTAGGGTGATGAAGTAAATGTTGTGCCTGAGATGCTAACTTGTCCTGACAGAATCACTGGGCTGCATAATATGAATGGTCTAACTTAGAGCTTACAGCTAACTTGTGGCAAACCAGTTTGAGCATTTCTGCTTAAGAACTCCAAACAAGAGCTATATTACAACCAACCTGCATGGAGACACCAAGTGAAGGTTTAAAAAGTTTTGACAAATTATTTGAAAACACAGCATTCAGACATTGTCTACATGTGCATCTTCAGCAGAGTTTACTGTCTTTGGTGTGCAGTTCTTCATGGACATGCAACTTTTTACCCACAGTTTTATACAAGCAAGGCAGACAATCAGCAATTGTATGCCAATCAGAGCTGACACTTCCTGAGATTCTGCTGCAAATTCTAAAGGATTTGGGGTTTTTATGAAACCCAAGTCCCTGGTATTAAGGGCTAACGTGAATATTTAGAGGAAGAGGAGGAAGAGCAAGGTAAATTTTTGTCCTTTATGTAGCAGGACAGTGACTCATTGTTTTTTCCTTGCAGATATGACATCATGAACCTACAGTACATAGAGCCCAACCGCTACGACTATGTCCTCGTTGGGACCTGGCATGAGGGTGTGCTCAACATTGATGACTACAGGATTCAGATGAATAAGAGTGGAATGGTCCGATCCGTGTGCAGCGAGCCTTGCCTGAAGGGCCAGATTAAGGTGTGCCTCAGACACATATATAAAAAGATATTTCTATAACTTTCTGTTATAGAAATATGAATATCCAGTCAGTGATTTTCCCTAAACCCAAGCAAGTTCCTTTCAAGCCAATGGGTAGGACTTCCTTCCCTACCCATTGGCTTGAAATGATAGAAAGACTCCTAGATGAATATCTTTCTTTAACAACAGCATATACAGGCTCATATTTTTTTAAATTACCCTTTGTAGGGATGCAGATTCTTCTAGTGTGACAGAATTTGAGTTTCACCTTATGTGAGAAAGATTTTCACTTAGTCATTGCCTACAACACTCAGTGGCTGTGATTCACTTGGGGGTTGATCTTGAAAATATTGTGACCCACAGGAGTCCAGTATTTTGTTCCAGCAGTTACACCTGCATGGAAAAGTTGAAAAAAAAAGAACAAACCCCATACCTATTTATATCTCATGTTCACAACAGGACGAATGGAAACACAAATGAAATCACTCTATGTTTACCAAACATAGCACTTGCATCAGGCTACAAATAATTTGCTACCAGTCATATATGGATGACATAAATACATGTTTCACCACTATCAGAATGGTATGGATGCATTAAGTTTAAAATGGCAAGGAGTCCATTCAGCAAAATCTCCTTAGAGTAGACCTTCCTTTCTATTTTCATTTAATAAACACATTTGTAGCTTTTTATTTCTATATTGCTACCCTAAGCAATAAGCAACCAATGATTTGGCAAAGGCACAGTGACACACTCCAACATCTTGGAGGAGAAACATTATTGGTGTTTACCACCCTTCAAAACAACTTTTCCCTGTTTCTGAGATTATGCAGTTTGTGTATGTGTGTATATGTAAACACTATGTATACAAAATGCCAGCTTCAGCTCTCATTGAAGTCTATTGGACTCTTTCCACAGACTGCATGAGAAAATGTCAAAAAAAAAAAAAAAAAAAAAAAAAAAAAAAAAAAAAAAAAAAAAAAAAAAAAAAAAAAAAAAAACCTACAAAGACAGCATTCAATAAAACAAACATTTTGAATTTCACTACTATACTTATCTCTGCATATAGATGGATAGGAAGACCTGGAAGGAAAGGCTGGATTCCTCCTTCCTGGCAAACAAGGCCAGAGTCTTTGTCAGAGCCCTTGGAGCCAAAGATATACTTAATCTTTCTTTCAGCCTCAGGGTAATGAAACTAGGAATCAAGACAAGGAAATAATCTTTTCAGCATTGGATTATTACATGTAACCACCCTCATAGCAAAGAAAGAAAGTTTTCAGGGACATTTGTCCCTAAAAGAGCTGTTCCAAAGCATGAGCTTGGTCACTTCTTAATTTTTTTTCTGCTAAAATACAAAAGATCCTTTTTAGCAGGATGTTTTGTAATTTGTCCTAATTTTAATTTCTATTTACATTTGTGTAATGAGCCCCAAAGAGACTTTCACATAAATTGGAATGCATGTGTATGTGAATATGCTTGTGTGTACATGTATATATATGTATATGCATTAATTACCCTAGGTAACCTTTGACTTTTTTTACTGCTTTTTACTATGCAATAGATATTAAGTATGGGCTGAGCTGCTTGTCCTGACCTCTGCCATTTCACAGATTAAGCCTCAAGTTTGATTGAAAATACGACATTCACCATTTTCTCTCTGTACCAGAGAGAAAATGGTTTTGTACTTTTAACTCAGAACAGCTCTACCCAAAACAAAATAAAATTGTCCCCAGAGGTTATCCTTGAAATCCTAAGCAAAAATTTAATACAAGTATCAATAAAAAATCATGATTGGTGTTTTCTAGCTGTTTGAAATGTGCCATACACAGGAATCCTGTAATGCTTCAAACAGTGTATTGTGTTATACGTTTGCTGGGGGTGGTAGTCTGTGCCTCTTTGTTGTCTGATAGAGGATCAGAACTGAGGATGTATTTTGTATTGCAGGTGATCAGGAAGGGAGAAGTGAGCTGCTGCTGGATTTGCACTGCTTGCAAGGAGAATGAATTTGTTCAGGATGAATTCACGTGTAAAGCCTGTGAGCTTGGCTGGTGGCCAAATGCTGACCTGACAGGTAGGCATGTGTCCCTCCAAACACATCCTTTTTCTACAGGCACAAGGAGAGTGCTGTGTGCTGGACAGTAAGATGGCAGCATGCAGAGATATTAAAGGTACATATTTGGACACACTTTCCAGTGCAGTTTAGGGTGACTCTCTTTCAGCTTAGTGCAACAGCAGAGACAATAAAGGCAGCAAAATTTCTGCCAAGAAGAAATGTTATAGTCTGCCTGTTTTTTCCTTTAGCACAAGTATTAATAAAGCAGTTAAGAATGATAATGAACCAAGCAGCATTTGCTGCAATTTAGCAGTGACTATCACAAGAGTTCAGTGCATTCTTGTAATATTGACTTGATACTCTTTTCTGATCATTTTACCATGCAATTAGTAGCACTTTATCTGGGATTTCAGGACCTTCAGTAACTGAGTACTGGAATCTTGTTTGGTATAAAGGTCATTCTCACTGGACCCACTAGCAAGAGGAATTTTAACAAAATCCTGAGAAAAGCTGTCTGGAAAGATTTAGACTTGGTGTCCCTTGTGTATATGCCTTGAATGAGTTGCTTTGGCATACTTCTGTTTATTTTTTACCTATCAGGGTCAACTTCTACATCTGCTCTGGGCTTTGCAGAAACCATTAACCCCCACCCCACAAAAAAAAAAAAAAAATTATAGCTACAATGCTATTGTAAAAAGCATCACTCTGGCCTTTACACTTGCTTTGTATCACTGTGAAAGACTAGAGGCACCTCTGCCCCATGTCACCTCTGCAAATCTTGGATGCCAGCATTCAGCAGGGCATTATTCCTAGTCAGAGAAGCAATCTGAACACCTAGCCAAAGATCAAATGTGGAACTTAACACATCTTTATCCTTTACCATGACTGGCTGACAGCAAGATGTTGCTGCAAATTTTAGCACATAGACAAAATTCTCAAACTTCAGTAAGTTCTTCTGAGATACTTCAAGCTAGTAACTGAAGCCAAATGAGCTCTCAGAGCATGTATTTTGAGAGGGGAAGCTAGCCACTTCTCCACGTAAAAATACCCTATCAATCACAAGAGACTGGGAAATGTCTCTCTTGGAAATTGTCTGTTTTGGTTTTCTGTGGAAAAGTTATGGTCATGTCCCAGATGTGTAAATGTCAATATTCCATACATCTCACTCCCACCACCCTGCCCTGCCCCTGCTCTGGTTTGCAGCTAAACTGACAAATAGATTTGTCACAATACAGAAATCTCAGTGATAATTCAGACACTTCAAGTTCCACGTCAGTGGGTTGCAGGGACTGGAGTTAATGAAAAATACATTTTGTAAGAGGCCAAATCATGGAAACACATCTGGTATTAATAGAAACCAAAAAATCCATAGAACATTTCATAAATGTCCTGACTATTTGAAAAGCCCATATTTAATTCCTGCTCCTAGGACACCAGCATCTGCTAAATTTAAAGCAGATATCCACACACAAACAGGTTTTGCTGGTCTTGAAGGTTCACAGAATTGTTTGTATCTACTTTTCAGAGAAGAAAAAGGGATTTATTGAATAAAAAGAAGGCAGAACAAAAACCTGGTGAGAGATCAATATGTACTTGAGAGAATATGGTTCAGTGCTACCATGCTGCTCAGAGTAGCTCAAATGGGTCATGTCAAAATGACAGGCACTGCTGAAAAGAGTGTGGAAAGAATCAGTGCTGGAAAAAATCTCCAGGGCATGTTGCAATCTATTAACTTTTAATGAAATCAGTAGATGACCTGCTGATTTGTGTTTCTTCTCAGCAAGGAGACTGGACTGCTGCTGTTCTAAAATCACAGTAACATCAGCCAAATGACAGCATAGCCATTGACTTATTTCCTAGAGAACATTGAAATGGCAATCTGCTCTCGCACAGCTTCTTCAGTCTGTCTTATTAAAGAAAAAACCTTCTTTTTTAACCCCTAAAATTTATTTACTTGAACTATACTACAAAGTACAAAGCTGTGAAAGGAAGCTGATTCCATACTTATCTTTAGAAGAAGGGGATTTATCTAGATAAAGTCTGTCTCTTGAACTTTGTGGGAGTCACCATTGGTATTGATTTAATTTGGAATTCTCCTTTCTTACCAGGACTCCTATCAAATCTGGTTTTATAGCTTGATTTTATGTGTTGTATTCATACCCTGACAGTCACCATAGCATCTAGACACAGACAGGAACATCTCACAGTGCAGATTGTTTTTCCCGGTGCCTTAAATCTTAAATGCTAAACATGTATGTGATTTTAGACTCATTTTCCATCACAGATGGAGGCTCTAAAATCCTTAAAAAATCCTTAATCCTTTTAAGAAATGTAAAGCACATACTAACCTATTTCGTAAGGCATGCTTTTCAAGGTGCTCATTTTCTCCACTTGAAATCAGTCTCTGTGGTCCAGCAATCATTTCCTGACATTTTAATTTTATTTTTAAATGCACACCATTTTTTTTGATTGCTTCCCTTAAATATGACATCAGTGAAATGGACTCAGCAGACACAAAGGATTTCTCACCACAGATGATGAAAACCTGACCCGAGAAATAGTCACTAAAGCCATTACCTTGGGACTTGTGCCAAGAGAAATCTTTTATAATACCAGGATATAATATAAGATGGATGAATGTCAAGCTAGTAAACTCAGTTTGCATAAATCATCTTAAATAAGCAATAAAACAAGATAGGGTAGGAAGTTTCATAGTCTTATGAAAAGAATCATAAGGTTTTGGGGCCATCAGTTACTTGGGATGTGTTAATGACCTCAGAAAACATTACAGATTCTCTTATTATTCGTGCACTATGAATATAGTAATAAAAAAAATTGATTAGCCTTCTGATCTTGGAAATTACAGTTAAAATGCAGGAAAAATAGTACATGAAAACTACCAGACAGCTTTTTCCAGAAAATTTTAACTGTGAAGCTTTTGCTCTGATTTTTTGAGGCTTGTTTTAGTTGCTGAGGGGACATTTTTGTTTTGATTTGATTTGTTTTGTAAATGCATGCACAGTTTCCCGAGTATTCTCCCCCAGTCTCAGTGGGGTTCCAGAGCCCACTTTCTCCTAGCTGGGAAATAACCCACGTTCACAGGTACTGACAACCAACATCTGCTAGCTGGTAATAAGCAGCATAGGAAACCTTTTGCAGTTTGTACAATATGTGGTTCTTGGGTTTGCTGGTGCACAGGAATTACATTGGTTTAATGAAACATTTATAAGTAAATCTTAGACAGGATAAGCTTAAAGCAAACGATAGGCTTAACTACCATGTTGGATCTGGGTTAAGCCCCTGAAAATATAGTGTAAAATGGAATAATGTGAGTATGTCTTGATGTTGTTAAGCTTAAAGTCCATATTGAAATGTTACCCTTCCAATAACCACTGACCGGATTCTTGTATGAGGACAACTTCACTTGTATTAATCAATGAGCATAGAGGAGCCAGCAATCAGGGCTGCCGAGGCAAATGGCCAAAGGTTCACATTTCTAATAAAGAGGTTTTCCTTTCTATTTCACCACAAAAGTATTGGTTAGAAGTATGAGTTTCCTATCTGAGTCCTGATCAAACTATATTGAACAAAATAATTTTCTTCATAAAATTTTCTCTTTGTTTTATAATATTTTCTTTATAAAATAAACCTGTGGTAGCCACTGCTATAATTTTTATTGTTTTCCACATTACAGGCATGTGTAACAACACCTGTAGTTAAGTCAGCTTGGAGACAAAGAGTACAGAATTATAAGACCTTCTTTCAGTTCACATGACATTGGCAGACATTAAAAGTTCAAGCAGAAATTTTCCATGTCAGGACTTTGCCTTGGGCTGATTTATTTTCTCTTTTTAAATTTAAACAAAAACCATTTTTTCTCCTGTTTCTCAAAATGAGATTACAATAAAACTGTTCAGCCATGATCTATTCCTTGTCTTACTTCTCAATTATTTGGAATAAGGACTTTACATTACAGTACAGCTATCTGCATTACAGTAGATGTATCTGTTGATAGTTTCTGTCATCATGTGAAAGATGCATATAAATGAGGAAAAACTGTGGGACTCAGAAACTTTTAGTTCATACTGGTTTCTGCAAATACACTCCACACTGAGGAGGAAGGGATTGAGCACAACTTTTGCCCATCACAACATCAAGGCCCTTGTTAAGATCTAGCAGCAAAAATGAGAGGAAAAATGCCTCTCCCACAAGCTTGCTGACATTACCCTCTTTTCCCTGTTCTTTTCAGCCATGTCCATCAACTCAGATAGGCATGAGTTCATGAGCAGCTAGTCCAGGGTCAGAAAAGCTGGACCAGCAGTTTGTAGTGAAGACATCTGGGTGGAGAGGTGGCTAAAAAAACTGAACTATAAGGTGAACTGAGACAGGGATGGTGAGGGACTGGGAGGAAAGATACTTGAGAGGTGGGGGAAAGGCAGAAAAGGTGAGTTGTGTCCAAAGGAAACTGGAGGAGGACAGAAGCAAGAAGTAAAAGAGGCCATGAATACTTCACTTGGGATAAAGAAATATGTTAAAACCACTTTGGAACTATTAAGCCAAGAACAGAAACTACAAAATGCCATAATGAAAGATGTCCGTAACAGCTTCACAGCCATAACATCTTATTAACAAAAAGGATTTTATTTTCTCTGTAGTGTTTATTGCTGGTATTACTTCTTAAGCACAGTGAGAAAGATATCCAGAGACACCTTCAACTTGAGTATGGGAGAAAGCAGTTAAGTATTTTATTAATAGACGCCAGTATGTTTGCGCATCTGTACTAGTCAGAAAGGAGAGTCTTTCCAGTTTTTATCCGAAGGCATGCATATTCTGTGGGTTTGACTCTTTCAAGAGAATTAAATTATATTATTTTGAGGGAAAACAAAGAGCAGAGGGTTTGACAAAATAAGAATAAGATACTGTGAAGAGGAAAAAAAGCAAAAATGTACTAAGAAGGTAAAGTATCTATGATATAGTTCCATTAAAATTTTGGATTTTAAAATCTGTAATTTTGGTACCATTTTTTCTGTCCATAGACCTCTAATTAATTTATATTATTTATAAAATAACTCTCAAAAAATGTAGTAGATCAAACTATAGTGATTGTGATAACGATTAACTAAATTAATCTGTTTAAAATCACCCATTTGCAACAATGCTGCTGAAATGAAGAGATGATGACTTAGTCTAGGTTCTATTCCCATCTGTGCCTTTGGTATGCCGGGCTTGTAATCAGGTATCTCTAAAAGCAGATATTTCCAAATCTAATTTCCTGTTGCAGCATCATGAGAAAATGTTTGGGACACCCAAAATGCATGGCTGTTTTTTGAACATATTAATCTAAACTATTCCATCATGAAGTTCATTCCTTTGTAAAATGGTTTTAATAATCCCTGTCACATAGATGTATGCTAATGTTTGGATTGTACTGAGATCCAGCAAAAAAGGCTCTTCCAGGAGCTGCCTTTCTAACACTCTGTTTCTCTTCTGTACACTGCAGGCTGCGAACCCATCCCTGTAAAGTATCTCCAGTGGAGCAATATAGAGTCTATTGTGGCCGTGGTCTTTTCCTGCCTGGGGATCCTGGTCACCATGTTTGTCACCCTTATCTTTGTGCTCTACAGAGACACCCCTGTTGTCAAGTCCTCCAGCCGAGAGCTCTGCTATATTATCCTGGCTGGCATCTTTCTGGGCTACGTCTGCCCTTTCACCCTTATAGCCAAACCCACCACAACGTCCTGCTACCTCCAGCGCCTTCTGGTGGGCCTCTCCTCCGCCATGTGCTATTCTGCCCTGGTGACCAAAACCAACCGCATCGCGCGCATCCTGGCGGGCAGCAAGAAGAAGATCTGCACCCGCAAGCCCCGCTTCATGAGCGCCTGGGCCCAGGTGGTCATCGCCTCCATTCTGATCAGCGTGCAGCTGACACTGGTGATCACGCTGATCATCCTGGAGCCCCCCATGCCCATCCTCTCCTACCCCAGCATTAAGGAAGTTTACCTTATCTGCAACACCAGCAACCTGGGCGTTGTGGCTCCTGTGGGCTACAATGGACTCCTCATCATGAGCTGCACGTACTACGCCTTCAAGACTCGCAATGTGCCTGCCAATTTCAACGAGGCCAAGTACATTGCATTCACCATGTACACCACTTGTATCATCTGGCTGGCCTTCGTGCCCATCTATTTTGGGAGCAACTACAAGATCATCACCACCTGTTTTGCAGTGAGCCTGAGCGTTACAGTGGCTCTGGGGTGCATGTTCACTCCTAAGATGTACATCATTATAGCCAAGCCTGAGAGGAACGTCCGCAGTGCCTTCACCACCTCAGACGTGGTGCGTATGCATGTCGGGGATGGCAAGGCACCTTGCAAGTCCAACACTTTCCTCAACATATTCCGGAGAAAGAAGCCAGGGTCTGGAAATCCAAAGTAAGTGGATTGATTCCAGGTATACATCTATCTGTATATGTCCCTCTATTTGCCATCCTCTCTTGGTTGACTGTAGTCTGCTGAATAGTAAGGTATGTAATAGTTTTTCATCTCGTGTGTACACTAAATGGTGGAAATGACCCTTTAGTTCTAAGCCTCAGATGGATATTGACGTGTTGCTCATTATCTTCTCTCCTGCTCTGAAGGCAGCCCTGTGCACAGCTCCCTCTACCCCAGGCAGTGGCAGAGTGACCAAGTTCCATGGCAGCTTCTTGCCTCTCCGGGTCACATGTGCATGTGTACAGGGATCTCATGCCCTGAGTTGCAGTTGCTCTGTATTGTGTTCAAACTGAGGTGCTACTGTAGCCTTTTAGAAAAGAAATCTCTGTCTGAATGATTGTAAATCACATGTACTTGCCTAAGGCCACTGGAATGTGTGTGAAAGCTGAGGACTGAACATAAGTTTTAAGGTAGTGTATTGTGACAGTCCTCATGACTGTGATTCAAAAGCACCCTCCGTGCTATCCCTGCGCTCTATTTAATTCTTAGCATTATGAGCAATACTTTTACTCATCATCCATATAAATCTCTCCACATTCTCAAACTCAGCATTGGTATGAAAGTTGCAGAAGTCAACTGATGGTGAAAATGAACTTGCATTCACATCTGTGGAACTTGTTATTCCTTGCTAATAATTAAAAGCACCCAGACGCAGCAGAGCGAGAGAGAGAACTATTACTTCAAACAGCATCTCCCTGTGAGGAGCTGTCTGAAAATTTGCATTCTTTATTATCTGAATGTTTTTTAATCTTTAAAGAAGCACCATAGGGCTACATATGAGCTTAGATGATTTTTATCCCAATTAAAAAAAAAAAAATAAAGAAGCACCAGTGAAACCTACATTTCTGAGATTCCCAAATGAAAATTCAGTTAATTTCCTGGTTTTTTGGGATCTGTAGTTTTCTCTGAGTGACTCAGGTTGGTTTTGATTCAGTTTGCGTAAGAACCATTTTAATCTGTCCTGGTGTGGTGATGGAGGCAATACTGTAGAAAACCCCATGCTGTGATCAATTTGTCTTTATGCTACTTCAGTACATTTTTTTTTTTTGCTAGACAGGACATCAGAAGGGAAGAGAACGGAGATGTAAGTGACCCAAATACACAGCTCAGTGTGCCACAGAGGCCACAGCAAGGCTGCTGACTCCTAAGCTACACAGAGAGAAAGCAGGGAGTGGTGAGCAGCCCTAGCAGCCACTACCTGCAGGGAGATAGCCAAAACTCTCTGTAGCCCAAGAGCATGAATTCCATGCAAATAGAAAGATGCAGCTTGATCCACCTTCCTCTGACTCTATGGTAGTTACATGGGGACTCAGACATCTGTAAGAAACTAGTGTGGTGTCCCTGCAGTGTGGTTTCTGGCTAACAATGTTGGTTTCTTTAAGTTGATGTCTGTCAAAAAAATAGGACTTTTGAATATTTTAGGTCATGAGAGACTTAACAACTAATTCTCTGTTCTGCTTACACTTCTTCTACCTTTATTTAAAAAAAGAAAAAATAATTTAAAAGATCCAAATGTGATATACTTAGAATACGGTTTTTAATAGGAGAGAATATTACATCATGTTCAAAAGTTGAGCTTCTCCCTCATAACTGTAACCTTTAAAACTCAACAGGGCTTACCTGAGCTTTTTAGCAATTTGTTACATAATTTTTGAGTGTTACAAAGCAAGAGAGCTCTACAGAGTTTTAAGTTGTTTTTCTAAACTAAAAGCTCAATACCTAGTTTATATGCTTTTTTTCCCTCAAGTTAAGCATCCATGTCTTTTATACAGCCAAATTCCCACCTCTTGCCTAAACCTCTTGCACCGTTACTGAATGTCCTTCACCCAAACCAGCACAGGTACAGAGCCAGCTGTGTTCATGGGCATGAAGAACTGAAAGAAGTTTAACAGACAAACATGAAGCTTTGAAAATAAAGTCACAAGGCAAAACAAAAAGGACTTTGGAGGGGTTTTTTAGCTCCTAGCTACATCCGTTGAAAAGTTCCTGAGGACACTGTGACAACAAAAATAAAAATGTGAGTCACTGTGGAAATCGAGAAGGAAAATGTAGAATTTGATGCAGCCTTGAAAGCACCTAGATAATTCAGAGGTGTAATCAGGTCCTTCCTGAAACAGGATTGAAAGCTACTGGTACAGGCTCAGTGCCTACAGGAATGATCTCCATACTGATTTTCAATGGTTTTGTTTGTGGTTTGGTTTGTTTGTTGATGGTTTGGTTTTGTTATGGCTTTGGGTGGGTTTCTTTATTATTTTGTTAGGTTGGTTTGTTTGTAAAACATCAAAATCTGGGATTTATTTGTGATGATTTCAGTAATTCTAATCCCTATAAGTATGTTCCTCTGTTTCTAGATTCTTTAACAGTCTCTCCCTGTGGCCACATTCTTCTGTCTATAAGTAGCCAGCAGTTCTGGACTCAAAAGATTTCTCTTCTAGATGTATGACTCTATCTTCTTGTTATACCTTCTCCCTCTTCTTAGCTTGCTTTTCTTTTTCTGCTTTTCAGTTTTCATCTCTTTTCCTGCCTGTATCAAATCTCTTCTTTGGTTAATCTATTGAATTCCAATTCCTAAACAGAAAAGTTGCATCCATCTAAATTGAATTGGTGTGGAGATACAGGGTTAAATTGTATCAGTTTTAAAAATGGAAACTGGTTTACATTTACAAGGACAAATCAAACTTATATGAGCTTTCATAAAGCATTTTCATGCAATGTTGTGCTGTTATTTTAACTAGTTTAGCTTGGGGACTAAAGCAAATTGAGACACTCTTCCTTTCTCCTTCATAAAGTAGAGCAAAAGAATTAACCAGGGAAGTCTACTAACACAGGATCAATTCATCAATTCAAAACCTTCAGGTGCCTGTGATGCTGACATAGAGGTCAGAAAAGTCATCTTGAAAAAATATGTCCCAGCTGCATTGCCAACACAGTTACAGTGAAAATAAATTTCTTGAGGATTTGAACTCTCTCTTATTTTGATTCAGTTAAACTACGAACAATTACAACCAGCATAGTTTTCCATAGAGTTGGTTGGGAATTTTCAAGTTGAATATACATATTTTCCATGAGAAAACTCTTTCAAAAAAAAGCCTTTCAAAATGCTTCATAGAATTGGCCTTTGCTGGTAAGCATTTACCCTGGGCCAGGAGGACATTCTTTTTTACCCATGGAGAGAGGAAGACATTGGGAAATCATGAGGGAATCTTACCCCAACAGTTAAAGAACTCATTTTGGCTAAGAGCATCTCCTTCATTTCCCAGGTAGATGACCTATATCTGGATTATGAACTGTCCAGGGAAAAGTCTCCTTTCTGTAAGTTCTTGTCCAGCAGTATTTTGGAACAGAGAAAAAAATATTGTAAAGCAAACTCTGGGGAAATACTTTGTGTTCTGTGAGAGAACTTGAATCTGGGTCTGAAGGATCCCTCGTGAGTGTCTTCAGTACGAAGCAACTGTCATTCTTTTCCTCTTGTCAAATGAATACTTAAATATGTATAAAAAATGGAGCAGCTCCATCAGGAGAGAGGAAGAGAGAGAGATATCTGCTGCTTGTGTTGAAGCTTTGTGGGGACATTTCTTGTTCATTTGCTGCTTGAAGGTATTACAAGATCCTGGCTGTTATAGGCTGATGGCATAGCAGCATTTGTTAGGAGAGCCTTTTGCATCTATTTTTTATTTTTTCCAGATGTGAGATGGAAACATTTGTGTATGGATCTTGCTGTGATCTTTAGCCTTCTTCTTGGTCTCAGAAGTTATTTTTGTCTATGAGGGTCAATGAGCTTGAAGAGAAGGACACTTTCACAGTGCCTGAACAATCCCTTCCCTGAGGAAGCAATGCTCCCTTCTGTACTACATGAAGAAAAAAAAACAAACAGTGACACTTCAGATGCTGATTCTGATGAGAGTTCAGGAAATGCCTTCTCCAGGAGTGCTGCAAGAGTCACCACAGGAAGAAAGTTCATTTTGTGTCTTTGGGTCTGGCAGTGAAGGTTATCTGCTCCCTCAGTCTTCAAATATAGACTATTTTAAATGTATGGTTGAGACACCATGCTTTGACACCATTTTAGTGCACTTTGAATCAGAGTAAGTATTTAATTGTCAATATACATTATGTAGCAAAATCTGAATTAATACAAAGCCAATTAGCAAGACTCAATGAATGGCCAGGACTCCATATTAATGCAGAGGCTACCTGCTTTCCCCTTTTAATTTTAGTATATTTACATTCAATTAATTTTCATCCAGCTGTCTGCCTTTAGAAATGAATAGCTGATTTAAATACTTCCAAACTTTTTCACACATTTCAGCAGGCAATGCCTCTAAACTGCTTTTACAGGCATCCAGTGACCTGGGCCATAGATCTCTCAAATGTGATTTATTTTATTCCAATGAAAATTTGCAGACAACCCAACATCCCCTAGTAACTTCTTTCTGCTTCCCTTAGTCCTTTCTCCCTCTGTGCTGGTCCTTACATACATTTTTTAAACTGAGAATTGGGGTTCTCAGTAACCTCTAGTAACACATGGCTTAAGGAACCACCTGCTTTTTTGTCTTGCCAGTTGTAAAATTATCTCTAGGTATTCTGAAGTTAATGCTTCTCTTTAAACTGACTTGCTGAGTTGCCATTTCATCTTGAGCAAGCTGTACTGACAAGCCGTGCTCATTTCCCTTGGCCATTCACAGTCCACAAAGGCTTTTGGGCTCTTCACCTCCTTCATTTTCAAAGCCTCCCACAGACACATGGCGAGGGGAATCTTAGCACAAGTATGTCCAGAAGATTTGGTTTCACTGGTTTTCATGGTGGTGGGAGGAGACAAATGTACAGTGAAGCATGGCGAGACTTGGAGTTTCTACACACAAAGTAAATGTTCAGCATGCTCTGCTGAAGTTGCTCAAATGTAGATATTTTACAGCCTGTCACTTAATCCAGCCTAACAGCCC